CAGCTATTTTGGATTGTGGAGAACACTGTCAGAATATATCACTTTTTACCAAAAATATTCACCAAAATTAGAGAATGAAAGATATCATTACAAAAATGAACAAATCTGAGAGAGGTCCACATGTAGTACCTATATACAAATGTATGTAATATCAAAGCAATTGGACTTGCGGTTTTCAACTAGAAGTCGAAAATATCATTTTTTTTCCAAAAATGACAAAAATATTCACCAAAATTAGAGATATGAAGATATCATCATGAAATGAACAAATCTAAGAGAGGTATACCCAAGATACATGTACCAAGTATCAAAGCATTCAGGCTTGTAGTTTCAAAGTCGACAGCGGAGCTAAAACGTTGACGATGATTTTAGGTGGATATATGAACATTTTCGATCAATTTGGGGCAAAATAGTCAAATTCCAAATTTGGATGAATTTCTTGCTCTCTAGAAAACAATCAGACCTATTTTTTCGCAATTGAGGTAATAACTAATAAATATGCATAGGTTAGACATAGCCCTGTGTACATGTCTGGTGGTTCCGGCCGCTTCAGAAATGTACACAGTGCTAAGGTTATATACCAAGGTACTAGTGTTTTCACTTTCCAAAAACTCGCTATGTCATTTATTCAAGTATTGTAACATATACCAACACTTATAAGCGATATACCATGCCTTAACAGAACATTCTAAACGCTAGGGTAAAAATAACGAAGCAAAACTTACCGCATCAATAACTCGACTTCGATTCGGGTCACTTTTAAGACCCGGAAGAAAAGCGCCCCCAGTGTCAGATGCGGTTACTAGATATAAAACAGGATGCAGCTTCTATTAGAGTGTCAACACATACGAGAAATGTCCGGACGGACATATATATGGACTCTCCCAGACACTTTTTAGTAGAACCGGATATTTACACTGATTCACATACACGATCGTTTTCAAAAAATACCTTGTTACCTTGACTTTATATACTGTGTCAAGGATTGCGCAATATCTGCTCTGTACATCGAACGTTTATGAACTCAGAGGCCGCATTGCTATAAAAACTAACGCTGACAATTTAGTACGTATTCCCTCGGCTAAGTCTACCCTGATATTTCCACTGGTTCACATACACGACCTCTCCAAAAATACGTTTTCCGGTACACCATCGTTTCGGTCGGGTACGTGGTATAATGGTGTACTTTTTATCATTGGTCTGAATACCATTGTCGTGACTCTGTCAGTTTGATTTTTTTCCTACAAATTGAATTTGGGGGTCATACAACTGACTACCTTTTAAAAACATAATTCAAATGAATAAATAACACGGTGTATTCGTGGATTATATTAGCTTGTTTATAAGTAAAAATACGATAGAACCTATATAAATTTATAAAATTTCGTTATTCTTGGCTCGGGAACTACGAAATTTCAATTAATCTGTCTAGAATTCAATTTGAAGATAAACTTGATAATAAACTCAGTACTCACAACTCCTCATTGCAGTTTTTAAAATAACAGATAACATAATTTTTGACAATTCTGAAAGAACTGGCGAAACAATCAACTGCGTCCTCCTCCTCCTCCTCCCAGTCTTGCGTGTCACATGCAGGTTAATATCACGTAAGCTACATGCTCATTGATTGGACGTGTCGTGACCTTGGTCGGACAATTGTCCAATCAAATGTATCGTTCTAATTTAGGCGAAAAAGGCAATGCGCATGCGTTTAGAAAAAAAATGGCTGACGAATTGCCTTCGGAATATGAGAGGGAGGTGTGGCCACGAGAGAGCGATTGATGACGTGTCATCATGTGGTTATCACCTGACTTAACATTTGTCCCATGATTCCTTGGTTGAGTCCCATGGATTGGCCCCCCTTCTCTGAAGTTTTGTCTTCTTTCATTGGAACTGTAAGCAAAATTTTTGTTATGGAATTCAAGGTTCTACTCGTGTTTTTGTTGGGAAAATACTTATACACTGCGTTTGTAACTACGTTTTAAAAACTGAATTACGGGTCGTTCTTTACTGAAAAATCGACACAGCAGTCGAGCTAGTAGTACGACCAGAACTAGACTGGCACAGTCGGGGCGATTGATTTGTTTTTGTAGTTTAACTAAAATAAAAAAAATCGCGAAATGGAGGTGTTCCCTAGACTGTCGACAGTTCCTCTGGCCTTACGTGTGTCCAATTTTTTTTATTTTTTTATTAATGATGAAACGTTACAAGATACATGATCGTTATTTAACAATAAATAAATAATTCTACCACATTCATTTTCTAAACTTTGATTTGGATCCACAAAACAAACAAAAAGAGCTATTAAATTGTTTGTATCTGCCAATTCTTAACCGATTTTTTCAACACTTCAAGTTTGAAGCAATGTCCTGTTCGTTGCCATAGAAATATATTAAATTAATAATTTGCCTAAATTAAAACTATTTCAAGGTAATAAAGGTAATGTATTGTATACACATTGATCAACATAACTAAATGTAATTTATCTGAAGCTAAACACATCTATTCAGACTAAATATATTTCTAAGTTTATATTATTTATTGACAAATATTATTAGCTGTTATATCATTTGTCGATATTTAGCTCCTAATTAGCCTCAAAACTCATACTAAACTGTGTCGTGATTTAAAATAATCCAATATGCAATTCTTTCAAAGCAGTTTTTAACGACATGTCTGCTATTTAGTGCTTTCAAATGGATTCTCATGTTAGAAACTGTTCAGACAATCTGATTAAAATAAGATCCTAGTTTGGGCTTTTATTTATTTATTTTTTTTTTTTTTTTTTTTTTTGGTTGGTTAATGTAATATCATTCATATTTTTTTCATATATTTTAACTATTTTTAAAAAAAAAAATATTTGCTGGTATTTTTTTAAAAGTTTTGGTAATCGCCAAAGCCCACAAGGATCTGACCAACAACCTATACAAATCGCGTTCAAGTACCTCTCCGCTGACGGGATTAGTCAACCAATCACAGAGCGCCTTACGAAAACATGGTGATGCATTTTGCGCGTGCGCATGAAGTGATCACAAACAAATTAAAAAAATGGCGGCGTTTACCGAGCAATCGAGCGAGAAACTCGAACAAATAATTGACCCTGAGGTGAGTACTTTTTGAATATGACATGTTTCCTATTTAATTGAACTATGTCAGGTGTTGGTGGCCGTTTAGTCAAGTAACAATATTTATATACGCGAAAATGCGTACTCGTG